CAACAATTCTATTTGACAATTACACTCAATATGTGAGATATGCTATTCAGTTTCATTTTATACATACTGATTCGTTTCAACACAACTAAAGTATCATTTCAATTCAATTACAGTTTCATTTACAGTATATGCGAGACAAATTATTCTGGTTAATTTGAAATACACTGTAGTTTCTTTTTATTATAAGCACACAAAAAATATGAAAATTTTTAAAATTTAACGGCGATCGTTTGTTTACTTAAAGACACGACGCCATTTTCGGAACATGATCCACTCAACTGTGATGTCCATGGTCCACGGTATAACAATCGCCATTGAACACCATCGATCTTGCATTATCTAGTGGCATATAATTCCCTTACATAACTGCGCCGGTAATTTAAAAAACCAATGTACGGGGACGTAATGGTCATTACTAAAAATCAACATGGGGTGGTGGCGCAGTTGCCTAGCGCGTAGTTCTCATAGCTTCTGAGTGATCCTGAGGTCGATAGTTCGAGCCTCTCCCACCCCATATCCCACAATGTGTTTTTTCCCCTCGCCGTGAAATAGCAGTGCAAAATAAAACAACAAAAAATATTGTTTCTATTGCCAGGAATTAAACCCAAGTCTCTCAAGTGAGAGCCGAGTATCCTAACCAACTAGACTACAACGGATTCATTGTTTCACAATGTCATCTCTTTAATTTCGGCAAAATTTTACAATAGGCCATGGTCCACACAGCTGTGTGGACCATTGTCCAAAACGGTGTCGTTTCTTTTACTGAAAAGAAACGACATCCATTCTATGTAATTAGTTTGGTTTTTTAACATATTCAATTTCATTTTATTTATATTGTATTTTCATTTTAGCACAACTAAAGTTCCGTTTTGTTTCAACTACACGTTCATTCGACATTATATGTACAATAGACTTATTACAATGAGACTCGTTATTGAATTTCATTTTATACACACTTTAATTCTAATTCAACTACGATTTTATTTTACAATATACACTCAAATATGTGAAATTGTTATTCAGTTTCATTTTATATATACTGTTGTTTCATTAAAACACAAATAAAGAATCATATTGATATAACTACAGTTTCATTTGACAATATAACACTCAATATGTGAGACATGTTATTCTATTTCTTTTTATACATACTGTAGTTTCATTTCAGCAAAACTAAAATATCGTTTCAATTCAACTACAATTCTATTTGACAATATACACTCAATATGTGAGACATGCTATTCAGTTTCATTTGTACATACTACAGTTTCGTTTCAACACAACTAAAGTATCATTTCAATTCAATTACAGTTTCATTTACAATATATGCGACACAAATTATTCAGGTTAATTTGAAATACACTGTAGTTCCATTTTATTATAAGCACACACAAAATTTGAGATTTAACGGTGTCGTTTCTTTACTTAAACACACGGCGCCATTTTTGAAACATGGTCCACTCAACTGTGTGGACCATGGTCCACGGTATAACAATCGCCATTGAACACCATCGATCTTGCATTATCTAGTGACATATAATTCCCTAACATAACTGCACTGGTAATTTAAACAATGAATGTACGGGGACGTAATGGTCATTATTAAATATCAACATGGGGTGGTGGTGCAATTGGCTAGTGCGTAGGTGTCATAGCTTCTGAGTAATCCTGAGGTCGAGAGTTCAAACCTCTCTCACCCTATATCCCAAAACATGTTTTTTCCCTTCGCCGTGAACTAGCAGTGCAAAATAGAATATCAAAAAATAATATTTCTGTTGGTGGGAATTGAACCCGAGTCTCTCAAGTGAGAGCCGAATATCCTAACTAACTAGAATACAACGGATTCATTGTTCCACAAACTAGAATACAACGGATTCATTGTTCCACAAACTAGAATACAACGGATTCATTGTTCCACAATGTCATCTTTAGAATTTCGTCAAAATTTTACAGTTGGCCATGGTCCACAAAGCTGTGTGGACCATTGTCCAAAACGGTATCGTTTCATTTGGGGTCCGTTTGGAAAGCAGGTAAATGACTTTTGGAAAATGTTTTCTTGAAAATGAGTCATTTTGCAGAAAATATTTTCCTTTCTTGTGTTTGGATGCACAACAGAAAACAATCTTTGCTTGTTTGGTTCATTTTCCAGAAAATGAACAAAATTGTATACTTCAATTTTTTTGATAAGTTCATTTTCTAGAATAACAACTTTAACCCAACAATAAGTTATTTTGAATACTTCAATTATTTTTATTTTTACTCTACTGTGTTCATCTTTCATGACTTACAATTCAGAAAAATAGAAGAATAATTCAGTCAAAACAAATGAGCACAAGAACTCTACTGTGTTCTTCTTCCCACTTCATCACTGATTTTCGGCTGGGTTTCCGTTCGCAGCCAGGATTTCCGCATGAACCAGTGACGATTTCCGATGCGGAAATCAGAGAAATGGTTTCCGCATCGGAAACCAGGCATCGGACCAGTTTACCAGAGAACTGGTTTCCGATGCGGAAATCAGAAAAATGGTTTCCGCATCGGAAACCAGTTCTCTGGTTTCCAACTGCGGAAACCAGTTCCGGAAGAGGAGGTGTTGGGCTTTGGTTTCATTGTTGTAGAATTGTTGGAAGAGGTGTTGGATTGTTGGTGGAGTTTTCTTCGTTGAATGTTGATGGAGGAGGCAGAGGAATTAAAGCAGTTTGAGTGTTTAGAAGATGGAAAATGACTTCCCACAAAAAAAGGGGAAGTCATTTTTTGGGGGAAGTCATTTTCCGGAAAATTAGCCTCATTTTCCATTGACTAATCTTCATTTTCCGTTGACCACTCAATTTTATGTCTAGCCAAACACCAGAAATGCGGAAAATGATTTCCAGAAATCATTTTCCGGGTTTCTAAACAGACCCTTACTGAAAAGAAACGGCACCCGTTCTGTGTATTTAGTTTGGTTTGATTAATATATTCAGTTTCATTTTATTTATATTGTAGTTTCATTTCAGCACAACTAAAGTTTCGTTTTGTTTGAACTACACTTTCATTCGACATTACATGTACAATAGTCTTATTACAATGAGACTCGTTATTGAATTTCATTTTATACTCACGTTAGTCTTATTACAACACCACTAAAGTATAATTCTAATTCAATTATGATTTTATTTTACAATATACACACAAATATGTAAAATTGTTATTCAGTTTCATTTTATATATACTGTAGTTTCATTAAAACACTACTAAAGTATCATATTGATATAACTACAGTTTCATTTGACAATATAACACTCAATATGTGGGACATGTTATTCAGTTTCTTTTTATACATACTGTAGTTTCATTTCAGCAAAACTAAAGTATTGTTTCAATTCAACTACAATTCTATTAGACAATATACACTCAATATGTGAGACATGCTATTCAGTTTCATGTTATACATATTGCAGTTTCGTTTCAACACAACTAAAGTATCATTTCAATTCAATTACAGTTTCATTTACAATATATGCAAGAAAAATTATTCAGGTTAATTTGAAATACACTATAGTTTCATTTTATTATAAGCACACAAAAAATACGAGATTTGTTAAAACTTAACGGCTGTCGTTTCTTTATTAAAACTCAACAGTGTGGACCATGGTCCAAGGTATAACAATTGCCATTGAACACCATCGATCTTGCATTATCTAGTGGCATCTAATTCCGTAACATAACTGCACTAGTAATTTAAAAAAGGAATATACGGGGACATAATGGTCATTACTATGTATTAACATGGGGGGTTGTTGCAGTTGGCTAGCGCATAGGTCTCATAGCTTCTGAGTGATCCTGAGGTCGAGAGTTCAAGCCTTTCTCACCCCATATCCCACAATATGTTTTTTCCCCTCGCCGTGAACTAGCAGTGCAAAATAGAAGAACAAAAAATAGTATTTCCGTTGCCAGGAATTGGACTCGGGTCTCTCAAGTGAGAGCCAAATATCTTAACCAACTAGACTACTATGAATTCATTGTTCCACAATGTCATCTTTTGAATTTCGTCAAAATTTTACAGTGGGCCATGGTCTACACAACTGTGTGAACCATTGTCCAAAACGGTGTCGTTTCTTTTACTGAAAAAAAACGGCACCCGTTTATGTAATTAGTTAGGTTTGATTAACATATTCAGTTTCATTTTATTTATATTGTAGTTTCATTTTGGCACAACTAAAGTTTCGTTTTTTTTTTTTGAACTACACTTTCATTCGACATTATATGTACAATAGTCTTATTACAATGAGACTCGTTATTTAATTTCATTTTATACTCATGTTAGTCTTATTACAACACCACTAAAGTATAATTCTAATTCAACTACGATTTTATTTTACAATATACACACAAATATGTGAAAATGTTATTCAGTTTCATTTTATATATACTGTAGTTTCATTAAAACACAAATAAAGTATCATATTGATATAACTATAGATTCATTTGACAATATAACACTCAATATGTGGGACATGTTATTCAGTTTCTTTTTATACATAATGTAGTTTCATTTCAGCAAAACTAAAGTATCGTTTCAATTCAACTACAATTCTATTAGACAATATACACTCAATATGTGAGACAAGCTATTCAGTTTCATGTTATACAGACTGCAGTTTCGTTTCAACACAACTAAAGTATCATTTCAATTCAATTACAGTTTCATTTACAATATATGCGAGACAAATTATTCAACTTAAGTTGAAATACACTATAGTTTCATTTTATATAAGCACACAAAAAATATGAGATTTGTTAAAATTTAATGGCGATCGTTTCTTTACTTAAAGACACGACGCCATTTTCAAAACATGGTCCACTCAACTGTGTGGACGATGGTCCACGGTATAACAATCGCCATTGAACACCCTCGGTCTTGCATTATCTAGTGCCATCTAATTCTGTAACATAACTGCACTGGTAATTTAAAAAAGCAATGTACGAGGACGTAATGGTCATTACTAAGTATTAACATGGGGTGGTGGTGCAGTTGTCTAGCGCGTAGGTCTCATAGCTTCTGAGTGATCCTGAGGTCAAGAGTTTGAATCTCTCTCACCCCATATCCCTCAATGTGTTTTTTCACCTCACCGTGAACTAGCAATGCAAAATAAAATAACAAAAAATAGTGTTTCCATTACCTGGAATTAAAACCGGGTCTCTCGGGTGAAAGCGGAGTATTTTAACCAATTAGACTACAACAAATTCATTGTTTCTCAATGTCATCTTTTGAATGTCATCTTTTCACAGCTGTGTGGACCATTGTCCAAAACGGTGTCGTTTCTTTTACTAAAAAGCAACGATATCCGTTATATGTAATTAGTTTGGTTTGTTTAACATATTCCGTTTCATTTTATTTATATTGTAGTTTCATTTTAGCACAACTAAAGTTCCGTTTTGTTTCAACTACACTTTCAACATTATATGTACAATAGACTAATTACAATGAGACTCGTTATTGAATTTCATTTTATATACACTTTAGTCTTATTACAACACCACTAAACTATAATTCTAAGTCAACTACGATTTTATTTTGCAATATACACTCAAATATGTGAAATTGTTATTCAGTTTCATTTTATATATACTGTAGTTTCATTAAAACACAAATAAAGAATCATATTCATATAACTGCAGTTTCATTTGACAATATAACACTCAATATGTGAGATATGTTATTCTGTTTCTTTTTATACATATTGTAGTTTCATTTCAGCAAAACTAAAGTATCGTTTCAACTGCAATTCTATTTGACAATATACACTCAATATGTGAGACATGTTATTCAGTTTCATTTTATACATACTGCAGTTTTGTTTCAACACAACTAAAGTATCATTTCAATTCAATTACAGTTTCATTTACAATATATGCGACGCAAATTATTCAGGTTAAATTGAAATACACTGTAGTTTCATTTTATTATAAGTACACACAAAGTATGAGATTTGTTAAAATTTAACGGGTGTCGTTTCTCTACTCAAAGACACGACGCCATTTTCGAAACATGGTCCACTCAATTGTGTGGACCATGGTTCACGGTATAACAATCGCTATTGAACACCATCGATCTTGCATTATCTAGTAGCATATAATTCCCTAACATAACTGCACTGGTAATTTCAAAAAGGAATGTAGGGGGACGTAATGGTCATTACTAAGTATCAACATCGGGTGGTGGCGCAGTTGCCTAGCGCGTAGGTCTCATAGCTTCTGAGTGATCCTGAGGTCGAGAGTTTGAACCTTTCTCACCCCATATCCCACAATGTGTTTTTTCCCCTCACCGTGAACTAGCAATGCAAAATAAAATAACAAAAAATAGTGTTTCTGTTTCCTGGAATTAAAACCGGGTCTCTCGGGTGAAAGTCGAGTATTCTAACCAATTAGACTACAAGAATTCATTATGTCACAATGTCATTGTTGGTTTTATGACTTTTGGACAGTCAACGGCAGGCCAACACTACCGTTAGAATAACGATAATATAGGAAAAATATAAGGAAAATATATAGAGAGAATATAGGAATTTTGTATGAATATTGCTTGTGAATATTGAGTGTCCCCCCTCCTCTATGTGTAGGGTCTATTTATACATATTTTGGGCCTAGAGCCCTATAAGGAATCAGAATTATAGACTGCCTCATATTGGGAGTCTTAGTTACATAATAAAACATAATTCTATTATACTAGAAATAATGTTTTATATAAGATTATGCCAAAATGTTTGCAAATCGTATGAAGCCGCTGCTAGAGGGTATAATTTCTGATTCACAGAGTGCCTTTCTCCCGGGCAGACTGATTTCGGACAATATTCTTATTGCTTCTGAGGTTGGTCATTATTTAAGAAGGAAACAGTTGGGGCAGGTTGGGTGGGCGGCCCTAAAGCTGGACATGGCTAAGGCATATGATAGGATGGAGTGGCCTTTTGTGAGGCAGATGCTCCTAGGTTTGGGGTTTGATGAGAGATGGGTCCAGCTGGTTATGTTGTGTGTCCAGACGGTGCAGTATATGGTGTTAGTGAATGGTACGCCGACTGATGAGATTATACCTTCAAGGGGGCTAAGGCAGGGTGACCCTCTGTCTCCTTATCTTTATATAATATGTGCGGAAGGGTTGTTCTTGCTGTTACAGGATTCTCAGGCTAAAGGTCTAATTCACGGGTGCAGGGTGGCCCGGGGGGCTCCTCCAATTTCACATTTGTTTTTTGCAGACGATATTCTGCTTTTCTTTAAAGCTAATCTGCAGGAAACCATGGAAGTGAAGAGATGTCTTGGAATTTATGAGGCCTACTCTGGGCAGGCGGTAAATATTAATAAGTCAAGTGTCTCGTTCAGCCGAAACACGCTTGGTGACGTGAGGGGGTATATTGCGGGGTTTCTGGGGGTTGGTCTTGCAGATGATTTTGGTAAATACCTGGGCTTGCCATCGGTCATTGGAAAAAATAGGAAGGCAGTATTTGCATATATTGAGCAGAAGCTAAAGCAAAGGTTTGGGTCCTGGAATAAGAAATCGTTACCCAGGGCAGGGAAAGAGGTTTTGTTGAAGAGCGTAGCTCAGGCTATGCCCACTTATACGATGAGTATCTTTCTGCTACCTTTAACTTTATGTTCCTCTCTTGAAAGATTGATGAACAGGTATTGGTGGGGCCGAAATGAGAGGGAGGATGGTATTTATTGGTATGCTTGGGACAGGATGTGCAAGCCCAAAAAGTATGGAGGCCTGGGTTTTAAACGACTACATCAGTTTAATTTGGCTTTGTTGAGTAAACAGGGGTGGCGACTTCTTACATGCCCGGACTCTCTTGTAGCCCGGGTTTTTAAGGCGATATATTATCCCACAACTACCTTCTATGATGCTGTTTTAGGGGGCAATCCGAGTTATGTGTGGAGGAGCATAATGGCAAGTCAGGAACTTGTGAAATCAAGGTGTAGACGAAGAATTGGAAATGGCAGAACGACTCAAGTTTGGTCTCATCCTTGGTTGCCGGGTACTCAGGGGCCTTTTGTGAGTACGGGTCAGGCTGATACAAATTAGAACCTATTGGTATCGGATCTCATTGATAACGATTTAAATTCATGGAACATTCCTTTTGTTCAGCAGTTGTTTGAGCTGCATGAAGCCTCCCTAATCATGCAGTTGCCTGTTAATGTGATTTATGATGATTTGTGGTTTTGGGAAGGTGATCTGAGGGGATGCTATACGGTTAAGGACGGATATAGACAACTAAGGGAAGTATATGCTCCTGGTTCTATAGTTTGGAATGGCATCTGGAGACTTAACATCCTGCCTAAATGGAAGAATTTTATGTGGAGAGCCCTCTCTAATATTTTGCCCACACTTGATAATTTAATTAGGAGGAGGGTGGACCTTTTGAATGTTTGCCCGGCTTGTGGTTTGTTAGAAGAAAATGTCATGCATATTTTTTGTTTGTGTGTTCATGCTTCTCGTGTTTAGATTGTTTCGCAGCTCCCGTTTCCCCCAATTAATGGTGTTGATTTTATGCAATGGGCAGAGTTATGGTTGGATGGTGCTGCCGGTTACTCACGTGACACGCAAGGTCTGTTTTGCGGCCTGTTACATGAGTTGTGGGCAGCGAGAAACTCGGCGGTGTGGGATGGCAAGCTTCCGACTCCTCAGGCGTTGTGCCGTGTCTTTGCGGCGAAATGGGCAGCATGGAACGGTAGCATGGCGAGGCAGCCTACGCGGCAGCTTGGTCAGTCACCAGTTGTGCCACGTGTGGGTATAACCTGCTACGTGGACGCGGGTTTTCATGGTCCAAGCCATGCGGCATCTTATGGTTTTATTGTGTGGGAAGATGAGAGTTTTGATGCAGCGGTAAATGGCCCTATGTCATGTCCATATAACCCTCTAATGGCGGAAATAATGGCGGTATGTGAAGCCCTCTCTTGGCTGAAGGATAACGGTTACACTTTGATAAAAGTTTACACAGATAGTTCTGTCTTCATTTCTTGTCTTAGTAATGTTAGTTCTTTCCGGTCTTATGTTGGTTTTAACTTAGACTCTTGTTTGCGTTTACTTTCTACTATGCCTGGTACTCAGATCAGTTTTGTATGTAGGGTCGCGAATCAAGCGGCTCACTCTTTAACGAAGCATGTAAGTGCAAGTATTGCACGGTCTGTTTGAAGGGATGTTCCGCCTCCTTTTGTTCTGCCTGATTTGGCTAATGAAATCTAGTTTGTTTTGGCTTTCAAAAAAAATACTAGAAATAATGAGTCTAATTCTGATTATATTAGAAATAATAAGCCCAATCCTTAACGAACTCTTGAGTTGATCCATACTGGGTATCCTTCTTGGGCTTCTTTGATCCAGTTAATTTCTTGGGACAGTCCATGTGGCCTAGGCCTAGTATACCATCCATCAATCATCTTTTGAATTTCAGCAAAATTTTACAGTGGGCCATGGTCCACACAGCTCTGTGGACCATTGTCCAAAACGGTGTCGTTTCTTTTACTGAAAAATACGGCACCCGTTCTGTGTAATTAGTTTGGTTTGTTTAACATATTCAGTTTCATCCTATATATATTGTAGTTTCATATCAGCACAACTAAAGTATCATTTTATTTCAACTACACTTTCATTCGACATTATATGTACAATAGTCTTATTACAATGAGACTCGTTATTGAATTTCATTTTATACTCACTTTAGTCTTATTACAACACCACTAATGTATAATTCTAATTCAACTACGATTTTATTTTACAATATACACTCAAATATGTGAAATTGATATTCAGTTTCATTTTATATATACTGTAGTTTCATTAAAACACAAATAAAGTATCATATTGATATAAATACAGTTTCATTTGACAATATAACACTCAATATGTGAGACGTGTTACTCAGTTTCTTTTTATACATAATGTAGTTTCATTTCAGCAAAACTAAAGTATCATTTCAATTCAACTATAATTCTATTTGACAATATACACTCAATATGTGAGACACGCTATTCAGTTTCATTTTATACATACTGCAATTTCGTTTCAACAGAAGTAAAGTATCATTTAAATTCAATTACAGTTTCATTCACAATATATGCGAGACAAATTATTCAGGTTAATTTGAAATACACTGTAGTTTCATTTTATTATAAGCATACAAAAAATATGAGATTTGTTAAAATTGAACGGCGGTCGTTTCTTTACTTAAAGACACGACGCCATTTTCGGAACATGGTCCACTCAACTGTGTGGACCATGGTCCACGGTATAACAATCGCCATTGAACACCATCGATCTTGCATTATCTAGTGGCATATAATTCCCTAACATAACTGCACTGGAAATTTGAAAAAGGAATGTACGGGGGCGTAATGGTCATTACTAAGTATCAACATGGGGTGGTGGCGAGTTGGCTAGCGCGTAGGTCTCATAGCTTCTGAGTGATCCTGAGGTTGAGAATTCGAGCCTCTCACCCCATATCCCATAATGTGTTTTTTCCCCTTGCCGTGGACTAGCAGTGCAAAATAAAAGAACAAAAAATAATATTTCCATTCCCAAGAATTGAACACAAGTCTCTCAAGTGAGATCCAAGTATCCTAACCACTAGACTACAACGAATTCATTTTTCCATAATGTTATCTTTTGAATTTCATCAAAATTTTATAGTGGGTCATGGTCCACACAACTGTATGGACCATTGTCCACAACGGTGTCGTTTCTTTTACTGAAAAGAAGCGGCACCCGTTCTGTGTAATTAGTTTGGTTTGTTTAACATATCCAGTTTCATTTTATTTATATTGTAGTTTCATTTCAACACAACTAAAGTTTCGTTTTGTTTCAACTACACTTTCATCCGACATTATATGTACAATAGTCTTATTACAATGAGACTCGTTATTGAATTTCATTTTATACTCACTTTAGTCTTATTACAACACACTAAAGTATAATTTTAATTCAACTACGATTTTATTTTACAATATACACTCAAATATGTGAAATTGTTATTTAGTTTCATTTTATATATACTGTGGTTTATTAAAACACAAATAAAATATCATATTGATATAACTACAGTTTCATTTGACAATATAACACTCAATATGTGAGACATGTTATTCAGTTTCTTTTTATACATACTGTAGTTTCATTTCAGCAAAACTAAAGTATCGTTTGTCTTAAAGTCCGTGCCAAAACCAAGTAGGACATTCATTTCGGGAGTGAGGGAGTGCTATTTACTAATTAGTGATTAGTGATTAGTGATTAGTGATTTGACCGTCACACTGTCATCATATAATTTAGGAAAATACTTGGTGTACTCCCTCCCATTTTATACTCCCAATTTGTACTCCCTCTCACATGTTCTTGATGTAGACATTTTTCTGTGGACCAACATGATGAAAATAACCAATCCTTGTTTCCCACCTCAGGAAGTATAAATAAGGGAGTAGAATTTGAAAGTATGCATAGTAGAACTCCATAATTTAGTCATGTCAAAGTATTTAACAGTTTAGCTAACAAGGTAAAAATTATGCTTATATGTTCAAATCTCAAAGTATTTAACAGTTTAGCTAACAAGGTTAAAATTATGCTTATAAGTTCAAATTTCAATAGTACTATACATATATACTAAATTGACCATTGACCATAGACCATTTTTTATTATAGTTGTATAGGGATTAAATTAAACATCTTACAATAGTATAGGGCTGGGTTTAATTGAGTACTGTTGTAATTCGGCCTATCAACTCGTTGGTTCTCGCATGATGTTCACACGGTAATGCTTGGAGATTGTATGTATATGAGTATATAGAATATATAAGTAAAAGGGAGAGGAAGAACACAATCACATGAGACTATCTTTTCATTAAGCCTTCACCTTCAATTTATAGGGATGATTACAACCTTTCACATCCTTTAACATAAGTGATGAAATAAGTAAAGGCTAACAAAAGGTCACAAGTTTAATGGCCATAATAATAAAATATTTATAACACTCCCCCTTGGCCATTAAATAACTATACTCATGCCTCGTTAAAAATCTCGCTAGAAAAATCCTGTGGGAAAAACCTAATCGAGGAAATGAGTACATGTACTATCAATCATGTGTTGCATCGGTTGCCTCGTTAAAAACCTTAGCCTAAGAAAAACTCAGTGGAAAAAAAAAAAAAAACCTTAGCTAAGGGAAATAGAGTACAACCATAAGCCTTCTGGGCATCATCTTCAGGATTTAAAAGTCTCCTAGACCGAGTTTATCGCTCCCCCTGAAGACAACTGTCTTCCTAGCCTCCTCATCCCAATTTTATAAACATACTTCTCAAAAGTGGATGTAGGCATGGACTTAGTGAACAAATCTGCCAAATTTTCACTAGAAAGTGAAAGGTCTAAATAGTTTAATGGCCATAATAATAAAATATTTATAACAAGTACGTACTTAAACATTAATTAGTATATAAATATAATTGCAATTTTATTAATTAGTTTCCTTTTCAAAAATCTTTCACAGTCAATTAAGGTAGTAAATAAATGGATTAATTGCGATACAAATGGGGACAAAAATATCTTTATTAGGGCAGTTTACTAATATATCACAAATTCACACGACAATTTTTTTGTATAAGTAGAGGGATCCGGATGCTTTGAGAATGCAAGCAATATAATAAACCAATTAATACACTATTTTCTTTTAGCAAATTTGGTGCTTTTATAATGGCGTTTACAAAGTTCTCTTCATCTCCGGCATACATAGTTGCAATTGTTGTTATTATTTCAGGTATACATTTATACTGGTTGAAATTTCAATATGTTTTTACAACTTGGTATATATATATTTATGATTGAAAATATAGTTTTTCAAACATAACTACATACCTAACATAAGTAAGGAATGATTATTGGTTTTTCGTACTTTATACTCGCATTAAGGTTGATTTTCTATCATTTTGTTTTCCCTTTTTCCTTTTTATTTCACCTGATAGATATAAATACGTACATATCAAGAATATATATCTATACTTCCGAAATTACATTTAGAGCATCCTTAACCGTTGTAGATTTTGAGGAATTTTTGCAAGTGTGACTTAGGAAAGAGGAGATGGGAGGGAAGAAAAAAATTAAAGAAAAAAAAAAAAGAAAAAGCAAAACAAATTTGAAAAATCAAAAAAAAAAAAAAATATGATAAAAAGGTTCATTTACGCTCCCACTGGGAGCTGTGGTTCACTTCACGCCAACTAGGCCAGAAGCTTGTTTTTCCTTGGTGGATCCCATATAATTCAGATAAAAATCAATGCATTGCCGGGAGAACAATTTTATTCTCTCTCATCTCTCTCTCCTCCACATAATTTTTGTTTTCTCAAAAATCACAATTGCAGATGCCTTAATGTTCCTCCTAGAAACAAACAATAACTAGTGACTATTTACTTTTTCATATTTCCCAAAAAAATTGTATTTACGTACTTTCTACTCATATTGAGGTTGATTTTCTATTGTTTTGTTTTCCTCTTTTCCTTGTTATTTCACCTGATTGATATAAATACATATAGAGAATATATATATATATATATATATATATATATATATATATATATATATACTTTCGAAACAAACAATAACTTATGATATTTAATTTATTTCTCAAACTTGTATATATATGCATGCAGTTATGGTCTCGGCTCCATCAATAGACGCTACGGTGTGTTACCAGATTCATCGAGAAATCCCTTGCGAGGGAGGAAATATAGAGCCACAATGCAAGCCCTTCTGCCAGAGGACTTTTGGTGCGAAATTCGATGGAGCACAATGTGTAGAGCAAGTCGGTTATAACCCATTTTGCGCTTGCTCATACACTTGCTAGCTTTAATATATTTTCCCATCCTTCATTGGGGAACTTATAATTTGCAGTCTTATAATGTTTTAATAATGGAAAAAGGTTAAATAAGCTCTCAAAAGTCAATTAAACCCTTAAATTTTTAGGTATGATTCGAGAGCTTATTTGACCATTTTCTCTTGAATAAATGATATCTTCTTTGTTACATTCTAGTGTATGAATATAAAATGGTTGATTATATAAAATGGTTGATTATATGGATTAAAATAAAAGTTGTGTTTTCTGTTCATGAATAAAATTATTTATATTCAATTCATTTATTAATATTATTAATCAATATTACGGTGAATTGAAATTAAAAGAATTTATTTGATAATCAACTACAAATATTGTATAGATTGAGAGACTAATTAGGGGTGTATTCAATCATGATTTTCATAGACTTTTATGAAAGTTTAAAAGTTTGGAGGTATTTAATTCAAACTTGTAGGTATTCTTTAAAAGTCAGATGGTATTCAATCAAGATATTTAAATAATCTTTAAAAGTCATGTGGTATTCGATTAAGACTTTTAAAGAGTCTTTAAAATTCATGCACTATTCAAAAAGTTATAAATTTTTGTAGAGTTTTAAATTTTAGAACTTTCGTAGACATTTTTTTCTCAAATATAAATAGTTGAAATCCAACCATAACCCCAAGATTTCAAAATTTTCTTTCTACCAATTTTGAATGTTTTCTCTCTATTTAATCTCTATTTTTTCTCCCTATTTAAACTTTATAAACCTTATACCTAAATTTAATAAATTATTTTTTCTTCATTATCCTATATTTTCTTCATACCTAAACTCTACCAATTTTTTCTCTCTCCTAAACTTTACAATATTCCTCTAAAAATTCAAAATAATATTATTTTTACTTCATTATTGCTTGTGATTTTTTTTTATTTTTTTTACGAACTTTTTATCCCTAACTTCTAAACTTTCTCTACGAACTTTTTATCCCTAGATTCTAAACTTTTTCTAATTCTCCCTAAATACATGAACAAAGAAAATTTTCATATAAATACTTATATATTTTGATTTTTATTCTTTTTATGTTTATATTGGTAATATACTTTTTTAACAATAGGTTACTACGAATAACGAACTACTACTCGCAATAGCAATTTGTGGTTGCAAACAGTAGCACCTTGTTGCTGATTGCAATCTCAAATGGCTATTGCAAATAATAGCTATTTGCTTATTGCCTATTTTAAATATTTTATTTGTACAATTTTGTTACTATAAATTTTAGTGTTCAATATTGTTATAAATTTCTTATGAAATAGTTCTTTTTTGCTTTTTGGTTGATGCTTATTAATAATATATAAGTAAGTCTCACCATACTATGGATAAAAATAATAAAGTTGAGAATATTGATGTGGGTAAAGAACTATATAATAATAAGAATTTTATGATATATTATAACATATTTTGTAAGAAAATTGTAAATGATAAGAATCAAAATCATAGAATTTCAATGACTATTGTAGAATTTTTAAAATAAAAAAGTTGATAAAAGTTTATGAATGTTTTTTATATATTTTATAGAGTCTTACAAAGTTTTAAAAAATTTTGAACGGCTCTATGAAAGTCAATCAAAATTTATTAAAATCTATAATTTTAAAAGTTTTTAAAAGTCTACAAAAGTCATGATTGAATACACCCCCATAAATAATAAAAATCTGACCTAGTCCACAATCCAAGCCATATTTTACTTGACATGATAAAAACCTCAAAAAAAACCATAGCTAATAAGGTTGCTTTTGTATTGGCTAATCTATCTATACTATTATTAAAAACAAAATCCTACTTAATTGCATTCTCGCACAAACACTTCCGTCTAAACAATAGAAAAGAAATAATAATAAGTAATACTTATTAAGTAATTTCCATTTATTTTTATATAATAATCAGTAATAATTATCAAGGAATAATAATAATTATTCAATTATGGAATAATAATACTTATTAAGGAACAACAACAACAACAACAACAACAATAATAACAATAATAATAATAATAATAATAATAACAATAACAATAACAATAAGAATAACAATAACAATAACAATAACAATAACAATAACAATAACAATAACAATAACAATAACAATAACAATAATAATAATAATAATAATAATAATAATAATAATAATAATAATAATAATAATAATAATAATAATAATAATAATAATCGTTCAATGGAAAAGGAATAATAATAATAATAATAATAATAATAATAATAATAATAATAATCGTTTAATGGAAAAGGAATAATAATAATAATAATAATAATAATAATAATAATAATAATAATAATAATAATAATAATAATAATAATAATAATAATAATAATAATAATAATAATAATAATAATAATAATAATAATAATAATCGTTCAATGGAAAAGGAATAATAATCATTAATACTTATTAAGGATTAATAATCAATAATATTTTCCTTTTTCATTTTCAGTCAATTAGGAATCCTTCTTCGTTTTCTTTTCTATAATAATCAATAACACTTATTAAGAGACTAGTTTTTTTTTACGCGCATTGCGCGATTGAGATAACGTCCAATGTTTTTTTTAATAAGTACTTTAAAGTATATCAAGACAAGATTATATTGGAATTGTTCATGCATAAATAATTAAATGTTGAATTTGTGTATTTAAATAGGTAATTCTAAGTTTACAAATGCAAGATAATATAGTCAAGATTGATTATAATTGTCAATAAAATAATTGTATAGGTATGGTTGAAACCAAATACGGGACATAAGGAAGAGCAAATAAAAATTAGGGCATACAATATTAAATATATACTAATATTGAAGAGCTAACTGATGATTGCCAAACAAGGACATTGCAAGGTAGTTTTCCACTTCAATTTGTTGTATGATTTGAATACTCTTTTTGTCCATAAATCCCCCAAGTAGTTAATATGATTGGATTAATTATATTTATTTTTTTTTAAACAATTATTATTATTATTATTATTATTATTATTATTATTATAATTATTATTATTATTATTATTATTATTATTAAATATATGTATACCCTAAGGTCATTTTACATGTTAATCTAAACAGCTAATTTTTTCAAATATCTTTTTACCAACCGTTGATATAATTCGCTGGTAAAATTTGCTAACTGCTGATTGTCAAACAAGGACATTGCGAGATAGTTCTCATCACTTCAATTTGTTGTGTGATTTGAATACTCTCTTTGTCAACAAATTTCTCAAGTAGTTAATATGATTGACTTTATTAATTATATATTTTTTTAATTTTTTTCATGGTATTAATAAAATACTTGGTAAATAAATATATAGCATTATTTTGTATTATAACTTTGATATTTAATTAAAAAATAGTGCACGAAAAAGATACTAGACAATGTAGTGAATATAATCAATTGATGAATTTGAATATAAAGAATTTTACATTGTAGAAAAATAAAGACAATATAACTAATAAAATTATTTCTCTTAATTAATTTATTAATAATGAATAAATTTTTTTTTATAAAGACATTGTAGGGACAATGTAGCGAATATAATCAATTGATGAATTTGAATATAAAGAATTTTTATATTGGAGAAAAATAAAGACAATATAACTAATGAAATTATTTATCTTTTTTTTTTTTTTGAATGCTACTAGCTCTATTACACTGTAGTATCTGTTCATATACTTTCTCAACCTACTGAAACACAAAGAGCCAATAACGCCTCCACTGAGGCTCGAAATCACAACCTTCCACTTGGAAGTCCACCCCGGATACCATTAATTTATTGATAATGAATAATTTTTTATGAATAAAGACATTGTAGACACATAATTCTAATTTAAAGAAATGCATATGTATTATTTCTTGTTGTAGCTACTAAATTATTATTTCTACTATACTAATAAGAGCCAAAGAGAGATAGACCTATAATGGGTAGAAAAAATGACGGTTAAATTTTTTAATCAAATGAATGGCTCAGATTGATCAGATTTTAATTTTTCCTTGAGATTTCCTAATTTATCCTTAATTATATGATTATCCGTTAACTTTTCCGTTAAATATTATCTTTTCCGTTAATTTCTATAAGTTCACGGTTAAGTTACTCATTGATTTCAATAAGAAAGGTCTTAGGTTTTCAAAAAAAAAAAAAAAAAAAGGTCATAGGTTCGAACCACATCCCAATCAAAGTTGACATAATTAGTAGTCTATTTGAATCTTATTAAATTAAATAATAATTTAGTAGCTACAACAAAAAATAATACATATGCATTTCTTTAATTTAGAATTATGTGTCTACAATGCCTTTATTCAAAAAAAAATTATTCATTATCGATAAATTAAATCAGAGAAATAATTTATTAGTTATATTGTCTTTATTTTTCTCCAATATAAAAATTCTTTACATTCAAATTCATCAATTGATTATATTCGCTACATTGTCCCTACAATGTCTTTATTCAAAAAAAAAAAATACTCATTATCAATAAATTAATTAAGAGAAATAATTTCAATAGTTATATTGTCTTTATTTTTCTCGAATGTAAAAATTTTTTACATTCAAATTCATCAATTGATTATATTCACTACATTGTCTATTATCTTTTTTGTGCACTATTTTTTAATTAAATATCAAAGTTATAATACAAAATAATGTTATATATTTATTTACCAAGTATTTGATTAATACCATGAAAAAATTAAAAAAAAAAATTGATAAAGTCAATTATATTAACTACTTGAGCGATTTGTTGACAAAGAGAGTATTCAACTCACACAACAAACTGAAGTGGGAAACTACCGCACAATATCCTTGTTTGACAATCAGCAGTTAGCGGTTAGCGTTAGCGGATTTGACCAGTGAATTATATCAACGGTGGGTAAAAAGATATTTGAAAAAAATAGCTGGTTAGATTAACATGTCAAATGACCTAAGGGTATACATAATATAATAATAAGAGAAAATAGATTGATCAGATTTTAATTTTTCCTTGAGATTTCCTAATTTATCCTTAATTATATGATTATCCGTTAACTTTTCCGTTAAATATTATCTTTTCCGTTAATTTCTATTAGTTCACCGTTAAGTTACTCATTGATTTCAATAAGAAAGGTCTTAGGTTTTCAAAAAAAAAAAAAAAAAAAAAGGTCATAGGTTCGAAGCACATCCCAATCAAAGTTGACATAATTAGTAGTCTATTTTAATCTTATTAAATTAAATAATAATTTAGTAGCTACAACAAAAAATAATACATATGCATTTCTTTAATTTAGAATTATGTGTCTACAATGCCTTTATTCAAAAAAAAAATTATTCATTATCGATAAATTAAATGGGAGAAATAATTATTAGTTATATTGTCTTTATTTTTCTCCAATACAAAAATTCTTTACATTCAAATTCATCAATTGATTATATTCGCTACATTGTCTCTACAATGTCTTTATTCAAAAAAAAAATATATATTCATTATCAATAAATTAATTAAGAGAAATAATTTCATTAGTTATATTGTCTTTATTTTTCTCGAATGTAAAAATTCTTTACATTCAAATTCATCAATTGATTATATTCACTACATTGTCTATTATCTTTTTTGTGCACTATTTTTTAATTAAATATCAAAGTTATAATACAAAATAATGTTATATATTTATTTACCAAGTATTTGATTAATACCATGAAAAAATTAAAAAAAATAATTGATAAAGTCAATTATATTAACTACTTGAGTGATTTGTTGACAAAGAGAGTATTCAACTCACACAACAAACTGAAGTGGGAAACTACCGCGCAATATTCTTGTTTGACAATCAGCAGTTAGCGGTTAGCGTTAGCGGATTTGACCAGTGAATTATATCAACAGTGGGTAAAAAGATATTTGAAAAAAATAGCTGGTTAGATTAACATGTAAAATGACCTAAGGATATACATAATATAATAATAAGAGAAAATAGATTGATCAGATTTTAGAAACAAAAAAGATTGATCATATTTTAATTTTTCCTTGAGATTTCATAATTTATCCTTAATTATATGATTATCCGTTAACTTTTCCGTTAAATATTATCTTTTCTGTTAATTTCTATTAGTTCACCGTTAAGTTACTCATTGATTTCAATAAGAAAGGTCTTAGGTTTTCGAAAAAAAAAAAAAAAAAAGGTCATAGGTTCGAACCACATCCCAATCAAAGTTGACATAATTAGTAGTCTATTTTAATCTTATTAAATTAAATAATAATTTAGTAGCTACAACAAAAAATAATACATATGCATTTCTTTAATTTAGAATTATGTGTCTACAATGCCTTTATTCAAAAAAAAAAAAATATTCATTATCGATAAATTAAATGGGAGAAATAATTATTAGTTATATTGTCTTTATTTTTCTCCAATATAAAAATTCTTTACATTCAAATTCATCAATTGATTATATTTGCTACATTGTCCCTACAATGTCTTTATTCAAAAAAAAAAATATTCATTATCAATAAATTAATTAAGAGAAATAATTTCATTAGTTATATTGTCTTTATTTTTCTCGAATGTAAAAATTCTTTATATTCAAATTCATCAATTGATTATATTCACTACATTGTCTATTACTCCCTCCGTCCCGAATTGGTTGTCTCATTTACTTTTTGCACGCTTTTTAAGGAATTAAAGTAAATGTTATGTATTTTCCAATTATGCCATTCACTTTTTCACTTTTGGAAATAAAAGCAAAAGTCATAAGGGTAATTTGGGAAAAAGTAGAATGATGGTGATGTTCAATTTTGGAAAGTGGACAACATTTTGGGACAAACTAAAAAGGAAAGTAAGACAAACAAAATGGGACAGAGGGAGTATTTTTTTTTGTGCACTATTTTTTAATTAAATATCAAAGTTATAATACAAAATAATGTTATATATTTATTTACCAAGTATTTGATTAATACCATGAAAAAATTAAAAAAAAATAATTGATAAAGTCAATTATATTAACTACTTGAGCGATTTGTTGACAAAGAGAGTATTCAACTTACACAACAAACTGAAGTGGGAAACTACCGCGCAATATCCTTGTTTGACAATCAGCAGTTAGCGGTTAGCGTTAGCAGATTTGACCAGTGAATTATATCAACGGTGGGTAAAAAGATATTTGAAAAAAATAGCTGGTTAGATTAACATGTAAAATGACCTAAGGGTATACATAATATAATAATAAGAGAAAATTTCAATTTTGATCCACCGATTACTGAGCTTGTGTTAATTGCAACACCTGACTTTTAAAAGTGTTAATTTAGTACCTTGACTATGTAATTTTTATCAATTTTAGTTACATCAGCCAAATTATCGATCAAATGTGACCGGAAAATTTTAACTGATTTAATGAAAGGGGCAAAAGTGTCATTTCATATTATGTCCACCCTCCTTCTCGCTTCTTCATGTTATGTCCGCCATTAACTCCTCTTCTCCGATCTCCTCCTCACTTCTTCTTCGTGTGGTGAGGATAACGTTTTCTCGGCCGACAAGCCAATGAATCATTGGCCCCTTCATGTACTTTGCTTTTTTGTGCAAAAATATTTTCAGCATATTACTGCGTACTGTGTACGTCGTCACTGCACATTCTTCCCAATTTAATTTCTATGTTCCAGCCTCAAATTTTAGTTAAACAAACCAAACTTCTTTTTTTTTGTCAATGACGACTCTGTGGACGCCATAACCCAAATGACCAATAATAATAATAATAATAATAATAATAATAATAATCTGATGACAGTACAGACGGCGAGTACAAGGCTGGAAGTTTCTTTCTCCTTCTTTGCTTCTTCTTCCGGAAACGCACGTACAGTTACAATGAAGCAGAGATGGCTGAGCTTGGACATGCGTATCAGGCGGAGGAGCTGACACGTGGTCATCGGGCGGTTGAATCCATCGGACGTGATGAAGATCGAGAAGGAGGTAGGTGAAGGAGATTAGGTTAAAATATATTTTTGTCCTTACTATTTAAGATTAATTGGTAAGTTAAAATTTTCCTGTCATATTTGGCCGGTAATTTGGTTGGCGTGATCAAAATTGATAAAAATTACATACTCAAGGTACTAAATTAACACTTTTGAAAGTCTAAGTGTTACAATTAACACAAGCTTAATAGTCAATGCACCAAAATTGAAATTTACTCTAATAATAATAATAATAATAATAATAATAATAATAATAATAATAATAATAATAATAATAAAAGAAATAAAATTTAAAAAAATAAAATAAAACATATGGGGAGCCGAACATTCGGCTCCCCTTACTTTTGTCACTTTTCTCACATCGATAGGAAAAGTGGCATGGGAGCCTTGAGACTCCTATAAGAGGAGCCTTAAGGCTCTAATTTAAAAATTAAGCTTGACCATCCGTTGATGGGCAAACAGTGAGCCAGCGAAACTGACGCTTGTTATTCAAGTAGTCGAAGTGACTCTAGAATAATTTTTTATTTTATTTTATATATCGAGGTGTTTTGGGGGAATTCATTCTCAAAAATGCTAAGTGAAAATATTGTAAATTGCAACGTTTGTATTTTCAGCGGTTTGGAACAAATTGTTGTTTCAAACTGTTGAATAACCAAACACTTTATTTAGCATTTTGATCTTTGGGTTACATCATATTTATCAATCGTCCAATATCTTTGAGTTACATCATAATTAAAAATTTTAAATTTTTACTACATCTAAATTCCTTAAATTAGGAATTTATTTATCCATAATAATTTATGGTTTGAACTAATTCTAAAAAATGTAATGCATTATTTTGGTAAATTTGCAATATTAGTTGTGTTTATTTTGGTTACTTAGTCTCCAATAATGTGAAACTCTGAAACTGGAATGCTTTGGTAAACTGGAAAATGCATAAATTGTTTGCCAAAAGAGTTAGCCAAAAGAGTTGCATAAACTGGAAAATGCATATAGTGGAAGATAAGTAGCCAAAAGAGTTGCATATACTGGAAGATAAGTAGCCAAAAGAGTTGCACAAAATTGTTTGCAACTTAGACAATTGATACACAGTTAGCTACTTTTATATACCAAAAACATTGACACCAAAATACCTCCTACTTCCACAGTACGTATACCAAAAACATTTACAACAAAAACATTGACTCCAAATTATAGAATTAGTATTTGCACACAGCTTAGTCAATGTGAATTGGGTCATCAATAGTGCTATTTCCAGTGAATTGAACTTTGGTTTTGTTGAAGACCTTGTCAAATACTTCCTTCTAGGAGCAACAACAGATTTCTTAGCAACCATCTTCATGTTTTTTTTGGAAGCCCAAGTGTCTTTTTGGGAGAGGGAGGTGTTCCAAAAATCTTATGGCCTTCACCAACTGGAGCTTGAATGCTATCATCTTGTGCATCTCTATAATCAGGTTGTGTAGGTATTGGTATCTCATCTGGTGCAATTTGAATGACCTAAAAACGAAAATTGATTGTTAGCAAAAACAAAAGTGATGTTCAAACCTCATTGTTGACTGGCTGAAACTCAACATGAACTTCTCCTTGCACTGCCTCAACATGGACTGCCTCAACATGCACTGCCTGATCCAAGACAGTAACTTCTGGTCTCTGAACTTGTTGCGGAGCCACAAGAAGCGTGAAGAAAGAAAGAATGAAGGGAAGAAAAGAAATTCTCATTAACCATATCAAAGCCTTTCATCTGTTCTTATGTACAGCAAAGGGAAAAGCACAGAAGAAGAAAAGAAGAGGGAAAAGCAGTTACAACGGCAAATCAACTTCTAACTGCTAAGGGCCTAGGATGGTGACAAGTGTCAAGCCAAGATCATTTCTGTTGATCTCCTAAAAGCCCCCCTCAAGCTGGATTGTATAGATTTAGCAAGCCAAGCTTGGAAATGTAACTCTGGAAAGATGCTGGACAATGAGTCTTGGTGAACGGATCGGCCAACTGATTTTCAGAGGAAATGTGAAAGAGTTTTATGAGCCCTTTGTGTAGCTTTTCTCTCACAAGATGACAATCAAGTTCTATGTGCTTAGTCCTCTCATGAAATACAGGGTTTTCTGCAATTGCAATAGCAGACTTGCTATCACAATATATGGCCACCTCCTCATAATTCTGTATTCCAAGTTCTGCCAGTAGAAATTTTAACCATTGAATCTCACAAGTTGTAGTTGCTAGAGCCCTATATTCTGCTTCTGATGAGGACTTGGAGACTGTGGGCTGTTTCTTGGACTTCCAAGAGATCAAGGCATTCCCAAGGAAAATGCAGAAGCCAGTCACAGATTTTCTGGTGTCAACACATGCTCCCCAGGCTGAGTCAGAGAAGGCTTTTAGGAGTAAATCAGAGGAGGATGGGAAGAACAAGCCTTGACCAGGAGCTGCCTTCAAGTACCTCAGCACTCTGTATGCAGCTTGCAGATGCAGACTTGTAGGTTTGTCAAGGAATTGAGAAAGCTGTTTTGTTGCAAAGCTAATGTCAGGCCTGGTGACAGTTAGATATAGTAGCTTGCCAATTATCCTTCTGTAGTGACTATTATCCTCTAGTAGCTCACCTTCATCTTTGCTTAACTTGTGTGAAGGGACTGTAGGACTATAAACAGGCTTTGCATTTGTAAAACCTGTGTCTTCAAGAAGCTCAATAGTATATTTTCCCTGGCACACTGCAATGCCTTTACTATGCCTTGCCACTTCTAGGCCAAGGAAATATTTCAAAGGACCTAAATCCTTTATTTGAAAATTTGTGCTGAGTTGTGTTTTGACTTCCTGTATGATCTTCAAATCTGCACTTGCAATTACAATATCATCAACGTAGACTAATAGAGCCACAAAGGACTCATCTTTACCTATGGTAAACAAGGAGTTATCAGGGACTGCTTGCTTAAATCCCATACTTTGTAAGGCAAGTGTAAGCTTGGTGTTCCACTGTCTACTGGCCTATTTTAGGCCATACAAGGACTTGATTAGTCTGCACACTTGGTTATTATTGTTTCCAGAATATCCAAGGGGCATTTGCATGTAGACCTCTTCTTCTAAGTTCCCAGTTCTTTGCTGCTGCCACTGCTAACAATGTTCTAATGGTGGTCATCTTGGCAACTGGGCTGAATGTGTCTAAGTAATCAATGCCAAGAGTCTGATTGTATCCCTTTGCCACAAGCCTAGCCTTATATCTTTCAACATTGCCATCAGCTTTATATTTCACCTTATACACCCATTTGCACCCAATGGCCTTTTTAAAAGGGGGTAAATCCACCAGCTGCCAAGTGTTGTTTTTCTGCAAAGCATCAATCTCATCTTGCATAGCCTTCCTCCAGCATTCATGTTTTACTGCTTCATAGTAGTTTCCAGGTTCAGATTGGTGGGATATATTCATCACAAATGACTGAAAAGATGGTGTCGAACCACTGTAATCTACCACCTTGCTCATGGCATGAGGAGAGGTTTTCAGCTTGGTACTCTGACAGACATAGTCCTGTAAGTATCCTGGTGCCTGCCTGTGCCTGGTTGATCTCCTATTGTCTTGTTGTTGATGATTATGAGTAGAATTAGATGGCAGTTCAAGAGACAACTCAATATGCTCATCATGACTGCTTGCTGGACTTTGCAGCACATCTGGTGATTGATCTGGATGAGGGTGGATGTGATCACCTTCCCTAGCTGGTGACTGTTGAGGGGTGAGAACCTGATGAGGCCAAGCTTGTTCATTTTCTCTACTAGCTTGGTCTTGAGTCTGAGGCACCTCATGATCCTCAAGAGGTGCAGAAATCATGGTAGGAAGTATGATTTCAGACCCTACTTTTGGAGACACAGAGTGTTGAAAGGGAAAAACCAGCTCATGGAAGACAACATCCCTGGATATGAATAGCTCTTTGGACACAAGGTCATATACCTTGTATCCCTTTTTTCCACCTGCATAGCCAAGGAAAATACACTTCTTGGCTCTGGATCCCATCTTTGTCATTGGCCCAACATTAGTGGCATATGCCAAGCATCCAAAGACCCTCAAGTGTTGATAGGATGGGATCCTTTTTATCAGGACTTGGTATGGAACTTGGTTGTTGATGGCAGCTGATGGGAGTCTATTGATTATGTAAGCTGCATGTAGGACACATTCTCCCCAAAACCTGTCTGGCAAGTTGGCCTGACATTTTAGGGCTCTAGCAGTAGATAGCAAGTGACCATGTTTCCTCTCCACTCTACTGTTTTGTTGAGGTGTGTAATTGCATGAGATCTGATGTACGATACCCTTCTGTTTGAAGAACTCCACCATCTTAAATTCCAATCCATTATCTGATCTGATGCACTTTATGTTTGCCCCAAACTGATTCTTGATAAGATTGAAGAACTCAATGATCAGTCCTCTTACTTCTGCCTTGGATTTCATCAGATAAATCCACACAGCTCTACTATGATCATCCAGAATTGTGAGAAAATAATGATGGCCATGAGTGGTGGGCACTTTATAAGGGCCCCATATGTCCATATGTAGTAAATCAAAGCAATTAGATGTCAAGGAACTGCTAGACTGAAAAGGAAGCCTTTTCTGTTTTGCAAAATGGCAACTATCACATATCATATCCCTGTTAAACTGAATCATTGGTTCTATTTCTCTAAGAGATTATATTTTTGAATGTGAGGCATGCCTAAGCCTGGCATGCCATAGAATACATCTATTTGCAACAGAAATAGAGCTACATACAGAATGTGCAGAAATAGGAAAAACTAAGTAATATAGTCCATTTCTTAGCTCAGCTCTTCCAATCATCTTGCCATGGGGAGCATCCTGTATAATGCATTGATCAGAGTACATTTTCACAGTGTGGTTAGAGTGCTTAGTGAAAGAACTCACAGACATCAAGTTGTAATGGAACTCTGGGATATAGAGGACATTGTGCAGGATCAAATCATCAGATAGGCAAACTGATCCTGTGAAATCAATGGCAGCTTGTTGCCCATTTGGCAAGCTAACAAACATATTTTGTGTCCTTTTTTGATTGTTTAACAGCTCTAAGTCACACATAATATGGTGTGTAGCACCACTATCAATAATCCAATCTGTTCTACCATATTTAACAGAACTTACTGAAGGAGGCATACCTTCATTATGAAATTCCACTGACACAGTGTTGGCAAGGGCCTATGAGGGCTGCTTGAAGTCCAGAGGTGAGTTGGGACTCTCTCCAACTGGTTTCTTGGCCTGTATGAATTCCATGAACCTTTTTACATCATCTTGAGTGAATGCCATATTCCCATCAGAGTTCTGATGCAGTGTTGCTGGTGGACCTTGGATCTGGTTCACAGATTTATTTCTTGGCCTTGGTTTCCATCCGGGAGGATATCAATGCTGCTTATAACATTTGTCCTGAGTATGACCTGTGTACCCACAATATGTACACACAGGTTTCTTGTTGAACCCTGATAGTTTCTTGAAGCCTTGCTGAGGATGATTAGTGTCTGTTCTAGCTAGTAGAGCACTGGCAGCAGTGCTACTCTCCCCTGCCTGGTACAACTGACTCCCAAAACCATTGTAGGCCATATGGAATTGTCTCTCTTGTTGAGCAATCATGGAATAGGCCTCATTAACATCTGGAAGTGGCCTCATTAACATGATCTGATTCATAGCACCCGTATACTTCTCATGCAATCCAATGAGAAATATAGACAATCTATCCTTTTCTGCTTATCCATTCAACTCATCGATTTTCCTTCCACACTCGCAATTTGTGTTACAAATACAGCTCATTTGAGGCCTAAGAATGCTCAGCTCATCCCACAAAAGCTTTTGTCTAGTAAAATATTCATTCAAAGAATTATCCCCCCTGCTTGGTTTGGTATATTTCACACTTGATTTCAGCAATTCGAAACAAGTCTTGCTGACTAAATCTCCTTTTCAAATCATTCCAAATGCCATAAGCAGTGTCAATCCATAACACGCTACGAGCAATGGTGGGGGAAAGTGTGCGCACAATCCAAGTAGAAACAATGTTATTACACCTTTCCCAGGCTAGGAATCTGTCTAGGTTATCTGCACTAGGCTTCATAATGCTTCCATTGATAAATGGAACCTTATTTTTACATGAGAGGGCCATTGTCATTGCCCTAGCCCACGAGTGATAGTTTGGACCCTCGAGAGGGGTAGAAACCAGATCTAAAGCCGGATTTTCATTGATGTGAAGGAAGTAGGGATTGGATTGTGACTGAGGATCAAAGGTTACCTCATTTCCATTCAATCCACTCGCCGGAGTATCAGTAGGAGGTGTTGAGTTCGTCGCATTGGTGTTGACGGTTGGGCTTCCTGCTGTGTTGTCCATCGCTGGTGTTCGATTGCTCAGAGAAGGCCAAGCTGTTGTCGCAATTTGTAGGGTGGGTGAAAGCTCCTAATTAGTGTGCTCTGATACCATGTTGTGGAACCACAAGAAGCGTGAAGAAAGAAGGAACGAAGGGAAGAAAAGAAATTCTCATTAACCATATCAAAGCCTTTCATATGTTCTTATGTACAGCAGAGGGAAAAACACAGAAGAAGAAAAGAAGAGGGAAAAGCAGTTACAACGGCAAATCAACTTCTAACTGCTAAGGGCCTAGGATGGTGACAAGTGTCAAGCCAAGATCATTTCTGTTGATCTCCTAAAAGAACTTGCATTGGAACCTATTTAACATATATAACAAGTAAGCTTAGGTATTAGGTAAGATAATTAAAGTTGAAACGTACTTATTACATCAACCATTTCCTATTGATCCTCAGTAGTAACTTCTTGTCTCTGAACTGGCACTAGAACTCGTTGCTTTGTTCCCATTTTCTTTGGTTTGGTTCTTTTTTTTTTTCTGAGAGGGTTTCTGCAAGCATTGTAATGGAATCTATTACATGCCAAAATTTCAAATGATACAACCTAAACTAATGAGATCATACTTACAGCTTTATTGGAATTGAGAGGACATTTCCTGCTGTTGTGACCTCTTTGCTTGCAGAAGGTGCAATGTTATACAATATGCCTTCTAGACATATGGACCCCATCATTGGTGATTTTATTTTTTTTCATCAGCTCCTCTCAGTCTTAATTTCCTTGGCCTGTCAGGTTTTGCCTTGTATTCAGGTGGCAAAGGTGCTTCTCTATGAGTATGAGGCCACTCATTTGGTCCAGCCATTGCATTTATTCCACATCCATACACTTTCAAGTAGGTCTCAACATTGTAGCAGCTATCAACATACTCCAATACATTGTGTCTCTTCATCCAGATTGCACATATGGCATGTCTGCAATGGATTCCAGTTAAGTCCCATTTCCTGCATGAGTATGTTTTTTTCTGCCCAAATCCACAGTGTGTTGCTCCCTAGTATGCATTTGTTTTAACTTCAAACAAATTCAAATCACACTGTAAGGGTATAAAACCTCCTGCAAATTTCTCTTCTAATGCAATTTTCTTCACAATATTAGGGCAAACAATTCCAGTCCATTCATCTGCATCTTGTTTATTTTTGAATAACCTTGTCATCAATAAAGTCCTAAGACTCTCAAGGCAACTGATCAATGGTGTTTCCCTAGCCTTAACTATCATGGCATTGAAGCACTCACACATATTGTTTACTAGAATATCACAAAGGGCAGAAGTAGTAAAGTGGGACCTGGACCATTCAGATGGATGTTTGTCTCCCAACCAACCAAATGCTAAGTTGTCAAGCTCTTTCATCTTTCTCATTGACTCCTTAAAACAATTTACTGTGGTGTCTCTGGCTGCTGCCCAAAGTGTGTCCTTAATAGCATTCCCATGAAAGCCTGCGGCCTTCATATTGGCATACAAATGCCTTACACAGAATCTAAGAACCACATTTGGTAACACAACACTAAATGCAGGCAGCAACCCCTTCTGCTTATCTGAAATGAATATGTATTCATTTTCTGATACAACATCAATGCCCAAATCATGCTTTAATAATGCTAAAAACCAGCTCCATGATTCCTTGTTTTCACCCTCAACCATTGCATACGCAATTGGAAATATCTCATCATTCGGATCCATGGCAGTTGCAGTAAGTAAATAGCCACCATACTTTGATCTTAAGTGTAACACCCAAAATTTTAAAAACTTTTAAAGCTTATGAAATAAAGGCAAATCGATTATTTATTCCCAAACAGAGCATAAAGTAAACATGATAGTCAGGGTGCTATGCCACATCTGAGCTAGAGAACTCAGATGCACATGCTAAACTAACTAACAAAGCCAAATTAATATCCAAATACAAATCAAGGCACACAGGCCATCTCATAAAAGCTAGAACTATCTAAACTAAGTCCACGAATCCAACTAGCGTTCTCTGAAGCTACTCAACTGTTCCAGAAAACATTCGGTGTAACAGCCATCAGCGAATAATGCTGGTAACCCACTCCAACGCGTTAAGTACAATATAAGTAGATATAAGGAAATCATTTTGATACTGGAATACATATATATCCTAAGCAACCCTAGCTTTAAACCAAGACCAAGACACAAGACATAACAATAGACTTGACACTATAGAATGATCATAAAGACTAGCATGCATCCTAGAACGCAATACAAGACATAATAGACGGATAAGCTCATAAATAACAAATAGAGACAACAATGGGGTTCAATGACAATCAATTAGCAAGTAATCATCAAGGCACACAATCCATCTTCCAACCTTATACCAAGTTCCAACCTTGACGCTCCCCTCTGTCCTTATATCAGTTCCAACCTGTACCTCCAGACCACCCTTACATCGCCTCCCTTATTCCTCCGGGCAACTACATGCCCCCACCGACCAACCACCTACCAACCACTTCATATCATGATAGCGCCGCAATGCCATTCGCATGATCCGTACCTCTAATACCAATACCAAGGGGTCAGCGCATATAGCCCCGACAAGGCACCGCATCACTTATATCCTGACCCATGCTCAAGGCAAGCTAGTCGAAGGTGGGTTTGTGCCTTCAGCACATTAACCGCTAGGTCTGTACCTTTAGAACAATGACCGGGCACTCATTGTACCATCCGCCAACAATTCATTTCCACCCATCACAATCTCATCATCATCATCATCATCCTTAGTCACACCGATCATTGCGTAATGACCACGATACTCATCATCATTCAATCAATCAACACATAATCAATCAATAGTAATCAAGACATAGCAACAACGACATGTACTACACATAAATTCCTAGAACGGTATTCAAAACATCAAACGAGACTCATACACGTCAAACGGGGTACAACGGGACACAACGGGACACGGGGAAACATCAAATGGGGAAAAACAGCACGCCACGTACCCACTTCCCATCGAGTGGAGGACCACCCACCAGCCACCCGCCGGTGGGCAACCATGATTCCAGCGGGTGGCCGGCGGGCGCTGGAATTGGGCACTCGGGGCAGCGGGTAGGTGGTGGGGACTCGTCTCCCCACCTACCCCCCACTGGTACTACGGTAGAAATTCAGTTCCGGGTTCGTTCGGGGAACTCAAAACCATGTCCAAACACATTATTACACGTAACAACAACATCACGGATTCAATTAACAAAGATTAAACCAAGAACCATTCCAAATACGTTCTAACACGATTCCTAAATATGCCAAGACTCAATATCAATCATATAATGGTTCGGGAGCATCCAGAACCTCAAGAACATCAATAAATCTATATACAAAGCCCTAAAGACAAGTCCTAGGCTAGACTCAACACCTGATTATGCATAAACCCACCCAAATATACCAAGAACATCACAGCAACGAGATTCACGATATAAACCCTAGGGACAAGCTCTAGACATAACTAAAATGCAAGATTACACATATAATCAATTACAATATCAAGATCATCAAGATTATCACATAAACACAATATAAATCATAGGCAAGGCTCTATCAAGACTCAATCACGGAATCACACGTACAATTACCAAAGGAGCCAATAAATAAGATATAGCAAGGAAAATAGGTTTTGTAAGACATGGGTTACCTCTTAGCCCTAATCAATATCCTTCGCTACTAAGGTTCTTCTCTAAGATTCTTCTCCCAATTGATCTTCCAAGGCTTGTTGGTGGGGGATTTCTTTGGCTGTATTACCTAAGAGTATTTTTGAGTGAGAGGGAGGTGAGGAAGGGTTCTATCTGCTTCCTAATCCTCTATTTATATGTTTAAGGGAAACCTATTCAGAGTCTGAATAATAAGGCCCACTTTCCTATTTCCTTATGGGCTTAAGGTTCCTAGTTCAGGCAAAGGTCCACGATTCATTGCGGACCACCTGGATTAATTAAGAGAATTACAATTGGATTAAATCTCTTTTAATTATTTTAAATGACAGGAATCAATTTAATAATTAATTCGGATTTGAAGGCCGTAACACGGGGTGTTACATCCTCCCCCCTAACAGAAAGCTTCGTCTCTGAAGCTTAAAGGTGATGAGGACGAACCTAACTCCTTAGCCTAAGGTTCAGTCTATGTTACCTTGTGCGAATAGTTCGGGGTAGCGTTCCCTCATGGTGCTTTCGAGTTCCCATGTCGCCTCCTCGGTTCCGTGATTGGACCAGAGGACTTTAACCATCTCTATGGTCTTCCAGTGAGTTGCTCTTGTCTTTGTGTCCAGGATCTTCACAGGTTTTTCCTCGTAGGACAGGGCATCATCCAAGCACACGATTTCGGGTTGTAATACGTGAGACGCGTCGTGTACATATTTCTTTAGTTGCGACACGTGGAATACGTTGTGTACCCGCTCTAGTTCCCGACTTTCTCCAGGATTTCGTAGGGACCAACGAATCTAGGACTTAGCTTCCCTTTCCTTCCGAATCTCATCACTCCCCGAGTGGGTGAAATCTTTAGCCAAACCTTCTCTCCCGCGGAGAATTCATCTTGTTTTCTACCTAGATCGGCGTAGGATTTCTAGCGGTCCTATGTAGCCTTCATTCTCTCTTGTATGTGTATGACTTTTGTTATGGTGTCTTGTAAATACTGTGGCCCCAGAGTCACTGGATTGACCATGTCCTCCCAACATATGGGAGTCCTACACTTTTGGCCATATAGTGCTTCGTAGGGGGCCATACGGATGCTTGCGTGATGGGTGTTATTGTAAGAGAATTCGATTAGATCTAGATGTTCCTCCCATGTTCCCTGGAAGTCTAACATACAGGCTCTCAACATATCTTTGAGGGTTTGGATCGTCTTCTCGGTTTAGCCGTCGGTAGTGGGGTGGAAGGCGGTGCTCAATTTTAGTCTAGTCCCCATGGCCGATTGTAGTGTTTTCCAGAACTGCGAGAGGAATCTAGGATCTCTATCAGAAATGATGTTTCGTGGGATCCCGTGATATTTGACTACCTGATTGATGTAGGATTTGGCTAGTTGTGTCATTGTTCAAGTCTCTTTCATGGCAATAAACTGCGCTGTCTTGGTTAATCGATCCACTATTACACAGATTTTGTATTTTCCAGTCGGTGTCGTGGGTAGACCTCCCACGATGTCCATTGAGATAGAATCCCACTTCCCTTGGGGTATTTCGAGGGGCTGTACGAGTCCCTTGGGTTTGCACCGCTCAGCTTTTACTCTTTGGCAATTCAGGCATTTACTCACAAAGTCTGCTACCTCCTTTTTCATGTTGGGCCACCAAAATAACTTCTTCACATCTTGGTACAGTTTATCGCCTCCAGGGTGAACGGAGTAAGGTGAACCATGCCCCTTCTCTAGGATTTGTCTCTTTAGGTGGGGGTGCGTTGCGGGTATGCACCATCTTCCCTTGTAGCGGAGGCTGCCGTCATTAAATAGTTCGAACGGCCCCTTCTTCCCTTCGACTAGGCCGAGTTAAATCTTTCCAAATTTAGGATATTGTTGTTGTCCGATTTTGATTTCTTCGAATAGTGTGGGTATGATCCTGAGATTAAATAGTTGGATCTCTGAATCCGTTCGTCCTTGCTCCACTATTTCTAAATTTAACTTATGGAATTCCCTACATAGTTCGTCTGCCAGTACCCACGTGGTGTTAAGGGAGTGGCTCGTTTTTCGGCTTAGTGCGTCTGCCACTACGTTAGCCTTTCCTTCGTGGTATTGGATATCCAGGTCGTAATCCTTTACAAGTTCTAACCACCTCCTATGTCGCATATTCAGGTCCTTCTGAGTGAAGATATATTTTAGGCTTTTATGGTCTGTGTAGATCTTGCATCGTACCCCATATAGGTAATGCCTCCAGATTTTTAGAGCAAACACAATGGCCGCTAATTCCAGGTCGTGAGTAGGGTAATTTTCCTCGTGGGTTTTGAGTGGCCTAGACGCGTATGCTATCACCTTGCTATTTTGGATTAACACGTATCCCAGCCCCTTTTTAGAAGCGTCACTGAAAACTTCGAATCCTTCTATTCCCGAGGATAGCGCCAATACTGGGGTTGTGGTCAATCTTTCCTTTAGTTCCTGAAAAGCCGAAGCACAACTAGCGTCCCATCGGAAGGAAATTTCCTTCTTCATGAGTCTCGTCATGGGTTGGGCTATTTTGGTGAAATCGGGTACAAATCTTCGATAGTAACCGGCCAACCCAAGGAAGCTCCTAATTTCTGGAACTGTCTTTGGTGTAGGCCAGTCTTTGACTGCGCGTATCTTGGTTGGGTCCACCCTGATTCCCTCTTTGGTTATCACGTGGCCCAAGAATGCCACGCTGTTCTTCCAGAATTCACATTTGGAGAGTTTGGCATATAGCTGTTTTTCCCTCAGGGTTTGTAAGGTTGTGCAGAGGTGCCTCTCATGTTCTTCCTTGTCTTGTGAGTAGACCAAGATGTCATCGATAAATATAATCACGAAGTTGTCTAGGTAGGGCCGAAATACGCGATTCATAAGATCCATGAATACTGCGGGAGCATTGGTCAACCCGAATGGTATTACTGTGAACTCATAGTGGTCGTAGTGAGTTCGGAAGGCTGTCTTCGGGATGTCCTGGTTGGCTACTTTGATTTGATGGTATCCAGATCTCAAGTCAATTTTTGAGAATACTCCTGCTCCCTTGAGTTGGTTGA